TATAACATCAGATGATATTCCATGCACAATTGATATTTGTGGAGCTAAAGTAACTTGTGAAAGTGATGCTGTTATAAATGGAGTATTGTCTGATTCAATAGAAAGTAAATCCACTCTTGAAAGTATTATAAAAAACAATTTTACTAAGAGTTCTGGATGTTTGATTTGGTTTTCAACATACTGTATCTGTTGTATATTTAAAACTGTCATGAATTCAAAGTTTACATACTTCTTTTTGCTTTATGATAAATCTAAAACACCACCGCTTCAACATGCAGAGAGTGTAAATGGAACATCGTCACTTGTGGATACTGTTATCAATGTGAATAGGCAAAATACTTGTGAACAGCAATATACATTACAGTTTTTGTCATGTACTTGTAATCAAGACAAAAATGAAAGAAAGAGATTAATGAAAAATCATAGGAGAAGACAAAATTATGAAGCAATGGCACCACCTAAGAAAAAACAGTTATTGGATAGACGTAATGAAAAATATCAAACAATGGACAGTATGCAAAAGCAACAATTATTGGATAAACTTAATGATAAATATGGAAGAATGGACAGTATGCAAAAACAACAGTTATTGGATAAACGTAATGAAAAATATGGAACAATGGACAGTATAGAAAAACAAAAGTTATTAGATAACAACAGACAAAAATATAGAACAATGGACACTGTAGAAAAACAACGGTTGTTAGATAAAATAAATAAAAAATATGGAACAATGGACAGAATGCAAAAACAACAGTTATTGGATAAGCAAAGAGAAAAATATTCTAGCAATAAGAAGAATAAAAATCTAGATTCCTGTATCAAACAATTTCAARAGAAAATAAGAGAAGGCCCTTATTACATATGTTGTGTGTGTAACCGAAACCTTTATAAGAAGTCAGTCATGAAGCTAATTGTAAATAAATATCACTCACAAAATATGTTTACAATGAAAGTATCATTTGATGGCAAAGAATATATCTGTAAAACATGCCATTCAAAGTGTGTAAAAAATATAACTCCATGTCAAGCTATAGTAAACAATTTATTTGTTGATGATATACCATCTGAACTTGAATGTTTGAAAAAATTAGAGCAAATATTGATTGCACAGCGCATAGTTTTTGAAAAAATTGTGATAATGCCAAAAGGACAGCAACGTAAGATTAAAGGATCTATTTGTAATGTACCAGTGCAATGTGATAAGACTTGTAATATTCTGCCTCGTCCTCCTGAGAGTTCTGGCATTATCATGTTGAAGTTAAAACGAAAGCTTCAGTTTAGAGGTCATGTATATTTTGAAGCAGTCAGACCAGCTTTTTTACAAGCAGCACTTACATGGCTCAAAGCAAACAACATGTTATATAAAGATATTGCAATTGATTGTACAAATATTAGCAATGAGCACACAGATATTATGCATAATGAAACTGAAGATGATATACAAGCAGATGATACTTGTGATGATCAAATAAACAATACTGCAGATGCAGCGAAGAATGATATAAGCAATGTTGATTCTACAGACACAAATACTGACAATGATGAAACATTGAACGAAGAACAAGATGACCCCTTAAATGCACACAGATCACCAACTAATGAAACCTGTTTACAATCRATTTGCCCAGACTACCCAGTTATTTTGGAAGAAAGCAATTCTAATGTTTCTACTGGGCAAGAAATWTACAATGTTGCACCAGGTGAAAATAAACATCCAGTATCTTTGATGACTGACAAACTATGTGAAGAACTTGCATTCCCTGTATTGTTTCCTAAAGGTAGATTTGGATATACTGCTGAAAGAGATATAAAATTATCACCGGTTAAGTATTTTAATACAAGATTATTGCATTACAGTGGAAGATTTGCTATGAATCCTGAATATTTATTTTTTGCACAGTTCATAATCGAACAGAAGAAAGTATCTGATAGTATAAATATTGCACTTAAGAAAGTTCATGGTCAGCAAGTCACTGCATCACAAGTTAAATCTAATAGTACTCAAATACTTAAAAACCTTATATCTCAAGACCAGGCCTATCTATTCTTAAGACAGATTCCAGGCTCACCTCCATACTGGCAAAAATTCATGTATGAAGTTGTAGCAATGGTGAAACAGCTTGGTATACCAACATGGTTCATGACATTATCATGTGCAGACTTAAGATGGCCTGAACTATTTCAGATTATTGCAA